GTGTAGGCCACCATCAGAGGCGTTAAGGTCGGGGCCCTGATCATTGACATGAAACCATTCCCTGTTTTTAATTAATAAAATCAATTCCTTTTTTTTTTGTTGGAATGGTGAGTGTGGGAGGCCTTTTAAAAAAAAAAATACTTTGAAATAACATATTGAATTAAATATAATTTTTTTAGTAAAATAATAATATTGAAGTATATTTTTTCCAAAATAATTATATTGATCATATATGTTCGTCGCCGAGCGTATGTAGGCACTTGATGCTTCCAAAAAACTAGTTATTCTTCGTGCGTGTAATGCTAAGACTTTAATTGAGAAATAATGAGAAAATAATGTTTGAATAGTCATGGTTTCTCACGTATATCAGTAAATTATATAGTTTCTTATATCTATCAGTATCGCGATAATTACTATATTACATTTGATTATAATGGTTATTCACACGTGACCTAAAACAATGGACGAGATATTAAAAGTTAATTAATGTTTCATGTACATTTAATATTTTATGTACAGTTAATATTTTGATGTATTTTAGCAGATGATTTTCTTTAATGGTTAAAAGTAAACCAATATTTTATGAACAGTTATTAAAAATTAGTGAAATAGTAAAATATTTTTAGTATTCAGACGCGCGCGGTGTTTATAGTAGCAATACTTCACACGTGTCCTAAAAACAAATAACGAGATATTAAAAGTTAGTTAATTTCTTATGTACTTTTAATATTTTATGTGCAGTTAATATATTTTGCTCAGTTATTAGAAATATTTGAAATAGTAAAATAATTTGCATGTTCAGACGCGCGCGGTGTACCGCTGGCTGGAGCCCCAGGTATGCAGGGAGGACATGGCCTCATCCCACCCCCTCCCCCCCTCTGGGGAGCTCAAGGACTGTCCCCCCTGCAACCCCGGCATGCACTACACCACCGGGCCCGGTATGTGGGGTGAGGGGGGGAGGAAGGGGTGAGGGAGGGATAGAGAGGGTTGGGGCTGAGGGGTATTGAGGGAGGAGCAAGGAGGAGGACAGGGGTGAGGGTGTGAAGAGGAGGACAGGGGTGAGGGGTGTGAAGAGGAGGACAGGGGTGAGGGGTGTGAAGAGGAGGATAGGGGTGAGGGTGTGAAGAGGAGGACAGGGGTGAGGGTTGTGNACTAGTTAAAGAACCTGATCTATGAACCTCCAGTAGCGGTTTTTTTAGAGGAAGCTAATCTGAAGCTCAGACTTCATGAACTCATAGTCCGTGACGATTTTCTAATGAGGTCCGTGGCAGATATCATTATTAATGATGCTGCGTCATCGTGTGACAACGCCTTAGTTTTCCATACCAGCGCGCGGGTGTGTATCTAGCGTATTTCCTGATCATCTGTTAAATTCGAGATATAACATTCACTGAGATAACTTTCACTTTTTAATATTGATTAAGTTAATATAATGCAAAAATATTTTGAAAAAAGTATTTTAGGGATTCGATTTCATTCTCATTTATAAAAATTTGAATTTTAGCGTAAACTTGTTTGTCAATAATTCCATCAAATATCGAGCCATATTGCTGAACATACGAAAAATTCCTGATAAAATTAAGCTTTAATACGAGGAACACGTACGTTGCTAGAAACGAGCCAAAACGGTCGCATTGGAACACAAGGCATGTTAAATGTTTCCCTCCAACTAAACTGTTTGGATGTTGCGCCCATTGAGACGTCGACTTTATTGCTCCCACCCTAAACAGCAAGCTGGGTATAAGTGTGGGACCTGCCGAAGATGTTATGCTTTTTCACGCATACGCGAGACATGCTATCACAAAAATGCTCAAGTTACTCTGGGAAAAACAAAGTCGCAAAAGCACATGGCAATCTGGATAGAAACAGGACCTGTTGTTTTACTGCATCATTCAACAAACAAAGAAACTTTCTTTATTAAATAATGAAACGATTTCTTTTTCACATAAATCCTTTACATCATTATTCCGCATAATTCAGTAAATACGAAGTAAGGGATTTACATGCACCCTACCTGAAATTTTTTGCACTTTAGCAAATGCAGATCGATTGCCTCGCGATATTTGGTCTCGATATACAGTTAGAAAAAACTAGATCATGGCCATGAAGCCTATCTGAAGTTGTCATCAGCAGCACCTGTAGTTCTTGAAGCAACGCGCCTATCTTGCAACATGGCACGGAACATTTTTACGTATGTTCCTAGGGATTTTTTATTTGAATTTGTTGTGCGCTACTTGAATAATAGCGCACACGTATATAGGTTAATATATATATTTCTATATATGTAGGGATACTTGAAAAATAAAATATAATACCATGCCTTTTTGCATTTGATCGCGTTTATATGACTTGTTTAGAAGTTTTTTGCAAGAAATTTTTTATTTGTGAAATTGTGATAAGAAACAGTTATTTATTATAAAATCTCTGATACCATTGTATTCATTATATACTGTATATGTTCAAATCATTCAATATATTGGATGTATATCGCTACAGAGCTAAACGTTCACTTGCGACTGAGTGTGTTATATCTAGTGTCAGAACACGCCACTTGTTGCCATGCACAATTATTTTCTATTCTAAATTCAAAATTTCCTGGTCCGCACGAACGCAAACTAGAGTTCGTTGCCCTAACACATTTCAGCTACAATACTTCAACAGACGTAATGGACGTCCTCCGGTGTGTTCTTGTATAAATATTCTATACGTGTTCAACTTTTGGCAATAATATAATGGCAGCCAAATAATTTAATAATATATTTAATAATATAGCTGTCTCTTATACACATCTAGATGTGTATAAGAGACAGCAGGTACACATACCAATACAAAAGTTCCAGGACACATACCAGTACAAAACATTTGTCGGCTGAATGTGATTGAAATTGGCCTGCGTAACGCTTGAGCAACCAACACAACCACTGACGTATCATCCCTAGCTAGCACTAACATCACTAGACTAAAATACACAACTAACACTAACGCAACTACTAATGTATCATTCCCAGTACCAGCATCACTTGTCTGATGCACACATAACTTACGCATACATAACTTACGCACACATAACTTACGCATACACAACTTACGCACACATAACTTACGCACACATAACTTACGCACACATAACTTACGCACACATAACTTACGCACACATAACTTACGCACACATAACTAAGGGACAGAACTAACCCATAAATGTAACGCAACCACTGACGTACCACCCGCAGGCTCAGAACGAGCAGTGCCAGAGCGTCGGTGACGCAGATGACGCCAAGTGGCCGCCACTGACGTACGAAGGACAGTGGCGGACAGTAGAGGTCCGCCTCACGGCCGGCCTCAATGTCCTCCGCTGGAAGACCATCGGTGTTGACGCTCGTCCATCACCGAGACCTGTCATGATCAGGAGCCTCAGTGTCAGTGGTGAGTTGATATGAAGTTGAAATCACGTTGATTTCATAATGTTTCTACGAAATAAACTCTTTATTAACGTTATTTTTGCTTTCTTTTTTACTTTTTTTTATGTCTGGAGGGATACGTGGGTTGTTGGGTTGATGATTTCGGCGCTCCCTTTCTACTCGAGGGGAGGCCGAGGCATTGAAAATGTATTGATCTAAGTGCCATATTTTATTTTGATGTTTTAATTATCCGCCCATCTTTATTACGTGTGTCACGATAGTGGTGAGATACGGCGAACATTGTGCACTAATTGGAAGGTTAGAGTTCCAGGCTTGATTACCGACTAATTTATTCTAGAGTTGCTAAAAAAATATTTGTCTGGATTGCCATTTACTAGTGTTTCTAACGAAAGGTCAAATGTTGTCGACATTATCAACTAATTTACATCCAACAATTCCTGCTACCATCATAAGCCAGCGTTTCCTTCGGAGGTTATAACAAACCATTCATCTAGTGTTATAAATAACTAATTTAATTCATCAATTGATGTTACGTAATTGCCTGTCTCGTTCCTCCAATGATATTTTTTACTAAAAACCTTGTCGACATTATGAACTAATTTACATCCAACCATTCCTGCTACCATTATAAACCAGCGTTTCATTCAGAGGTTATAACAAACCATGCTCCTAGTGTAACAAATAACTTTATGTTATGAAATAAAATAATTTATTTCATCATTGATGTTGCGTAACCATCTGTCTCATTCCTCCAATGATATATTTTACTAAAAACCTTCTCTTCCTCAAGGGGTTGCCTACACCTCCGCCTGCACGCCCTGCCCCGCGGGGAAGTTCAGTGACGTTGGGGCTCGTGAGTGTACGGACTGTCCTGAGAACACCCACAGCCCCACGGGGGCAGCTCGCTGCACCCAGTGCAACCCCGACATCAGTTATGCCCCCAAGGGCTCCCCCAAATGCCTCAACCGCCCCCCGTGTTCGGCCAAAGATTATTACGAGATAGACTCGGCTTGTGACAGCAACAATAAAGTGAGCCTTATAAACTTTTAAACTTGTTAACGCGAAGCAGAAAACTATTTGAGATTAAATGCTTTCTTTCTCTTGTTTAAGAATTGGCAGTCCTGTAATATTTTTAAGAGATGAAATTAATGATATAAATATGATATTAAATTGAGTTATTGCGTCGCAGGGTAATTTTGTGTGTAAGTTTAATAGAGGATCATAAATTAAAAAATCTAGGAAGCACCGTTCAACGTGGACTATAAAAGGGTACATATTTTGAAATTATCAAAATTCAACAGCAAAAAAATACAAAATGTAAAATAAATGCGAAATTTCGCGCTTGTGAGCTCCAAAGTGTTGATTATATTCATCTAAGATATCAATTAATATTATATGATTTATCCATTGGGTAAATGTCTGATATACTTTCATATTTTCCAATGATCCGGACAGGAACTATGGCCATTTTGAGAACACGATGATGACCAATTTGAAATCGTAAAGTGTTATTCCAACCTCAACTGACTTATTAAAAAATTATTCGCATGAAATATTCAATTACGTGTGTGACCGGAAACTCTACGGAATTAACCCCCAGATAATGCGACGTAACTCTACGGAATTTTTACCGAATATTCAACTACCAAATTGACTAACTCTAAAGATTTTGTAAACGAATATTCAAAACTATTTATGAGATTTTTTCTGAATTGAGGTGATAGAGTAGATCAAAAAAGCAATTATGAAATATATTTATCACAAACTGTTCTAGATTCAAGCGTAGAAACAAAGTGATCATATCTCTCACCAAGAAGCATGCAAATAGAATCTGTAAATAGTAATATCATACTTTGAAAGTGTTAACTGAGCATCCACGAGAGCGGGTTGTGTGGTGCCTAAGAGCTCCTCGATTGCTTGTTGTTTGCTCTGTTGCCTTGCACGTGCGTTGCTCCCATTCTCTCGTCTCGTTTTTGCTGACGCGGCGATTTTATTATTGACA